CCGCAAGTGCGTTGGATCATGTTAATGCTGGGACGCGGCTGCTGCGTGCAAAACAGTGGGCTGCGCCGTCTTGGAAGAAGGGTAACTGATGAGCCTGTTTGCAAGGCTGTCTGGCATGCGCATGTGTAGGCTCAAGAAGCTAGTTGTCGAGCAGAGTAGCACTTGCGCACCGGTGCATATAAACAACATCGCCGGAGCGCAGCTCTTGTCAAATTATATCGGCCATGGTCTTCTGCGGGTGTCTTTCTGGCGCAGCTACGCGCCGATGTCCTGCAACAGCCTCGGCACGCTACTGCAGGGGGATGCTCAAGCACAAGTCTGCCTCAGAGCGCTGTCCAGCTCTGGTCAACATGGCCAGGTCTGCAAGAGTTTCAGTGGCATCTCCGCAGGGCGGATGGCTCACAAAGTCGGAGCTGGTTGAGGCCTCGGTGAGCGCTTTGTCTTCTTCGGCTTCAGCATCTGAAGCGAGTTCATCTTGAAGCGCTGCAGATGTGTTCCTGGCGCAGCTCCGCAGCACGGTGCAGCAGCAGCCGGGCGACGGAGCGGGCGCGGCTCAAGGCGGTAATCCAGGTGACAGTCAAAAGCCATGCTTTCATGCGCATATATCTGCCCAAGGACAGGAGAAGCAGATTATTGTCTATCATGAGATCGAACGCTTACACCATATAATTCTTGGCTTGAAGCATTCGCGAGGTGAAAGCTGCTTCAGACACTGGCCCCGCCCTGGTCGATGTGGCTCTGCGGGCGTGTCATCTCCGCAGGGAGGCGGGCTCACGAAGTCAGCGCTGGTCGAGGCGTTGGTGAGCGCCTTGCTTCCTGCAGCTTCAGCATCTTTAGCGAGTTTGACCCAGAGCGACGCAGATGTGTTCCTGGCGCGGCTCCGGAGCACGGTGACGCAGGAGCCGGGCGATGGAGCGGCATCTGCGGGGGAGAAGTTGGAGCGGACCAAGGCAAGGAGAAACAATTTTCTCATTTATAATGAAATCGTATGTGTACATGATAGCATTTGCGCTTGGCTGAGCTGCTTCAGACACTGACCCGGCCCTTAAAAGCTCAATGTCTCAAAAGCAAAAAACTGAAACCCCTGAATCTTGAGGTCTAAAAAAGGTAAAGTCTTAAAGTCGTAAAGTCGTAACATCTGAAAATCTCAAAAGTTGACCATCTTCAAGCCTTAAAATCTTAAAATCTTAGCACCTTGAAATTTTGGAATCTAAGAACCCTGAGATCTCAAAATCTTGAAATCTGAAAAACTGCTTAGCGACAACTGGCCCAAGCTGAGTGAGCGCACGCTTGCCTGCGCGCGTGCACGTTTGCACACGCGCCAGGAAGTTGGTTCTTGCTGGTTATGGTTGCTGTTACGTCTTGTTGGTTGTTGTTGGTTGCTGTTGGTTCTTATTTGTTGTTGTTGTTGTTGTTGTTGTTGTTGTTGTTGTTGTTGTTGTTGTTGTTGTTGTTGCGGTTGCGCTTCTTGTTGCTGTTGTTGTTGCTGTTGCGGTTGTTGCCGGACGGGGCTGACGGGTTGGGCTGGCCGAACATTCGGGCTTATTTTGGTTCCCGGGATGGAAAAGAGCTGGCGGCTTGGAATCGATCGCCTTGCGCAATGCTACCATCCCGGCGCTGCCGCTGCCTTGGTCCTTTGGAGCAAGCCAGCGAGAAGCTCTACGAGGCTGCCGCCCAATGCCGCCGAACTGGGCATGCAGAAGATGAAGAGCATCACCTGCGTCATCTGCTTCTGGGGGTGCGTTTTGGGCTTGTTTCTGGGTCTGGTTCTAGGAGCAGGCTGCCTGTTGCTAGGAGCTGCCTTCCACACGGCATCCTGCTGCAGCCTTGGCGCACTGAAGAAGATGGGCTTTCCCTGCAGAACGCCGACGAAACGCTGGGTTTTGAGCTTTGCGCGGCGCCTGGCCCAGGCTGAGTGAGAGCGCATGCCTGCACGTGCGTGCGTGCGCGTGCGTGCGCGTGCGTGCGCGCTCGCGCGGGCCGTGTGTGCGCGACACACGGCGCGCGTGCTTGCGCACGTTTGCGCTCGTACGAATTAGTTCTTATTAGCTGCTATTGGTTGCTGTTGGTTCTTGTTGGTTCTTTTTCGCTGCTGTTGGTTCTTGTTGGTTGTTGTTTGGTTGTTATTGGTTGTTGTTGGCGTTGTTGGCTTTTGCTGGTTGAGCATCGCGGCGCTGCCGCAGCTGGTCGTGCGCCAGCAACGTACATCAGGACACCGGATGCCCGGCGGTCCGTAATACGGCCGCAGGCCTAGGCACGCAGGGCCTACCTTCAGGTATAGGGCCGGCGCCGCCTGCCGCCAACCCCGCACTGACAACAATCAGAAGTTTTGCGCTGAAACGCCCCTGCGCCGCCAGAATTTGGGGTGAAGGATTTGCGGATTTGTTCAAGAGACGAACGAAGCCTTTTTCGGGGGGGCACCCATTGTGGACAGCACCCCGGGCATCACCTATATCATCCGCATCCATGGTGGGCATTGATGGCTGTGCTTTTGATGGCTTAGCGTGGAAGAGGGGGCACGACCCTGTTTTTGATGGTTTTGCATGGATTCAAGGCTGCATTGACGTGGGAAACGTGAAACACAGCGATTTTTGTTGGTTTTCGGCCGCCATAGGCTGAGTTCGCGCTGGCCGGTGTTTCGCGCAGCGTTTTAATCCGGCCGCCAAATGCGCAGCAACTCGGCTGCGTTGCGAGCAACGCCGGCGCTTTCGGAATCCGTGTTTCGGGCATCGCCTGCATCTCTTGCATCAGCCTAGCCCAAGCCAGTCCTGAAGCCGCGCGCGCACGCGCCGCACTCGCAGCGCGCAGCTACATGCGCGACCACACCAACCAACCAACCAACCAACCAACCTTCCATCCAGCCATCCAGCCATGCCATCCATCACTCCATTGTCCATCCACCATCTCCATCCATCCTCCCCGTCTATCCATCCATCCATCCGTCCGTCTGTCCGTCCATCCGTCCACCATCCATCCATCCACAACGCGTCGAGTCAATCATCCTGGCGGACCTGCAGGCGCGGAGCAATAAAATAAACAGACCAGCAGCTACACTGGCTTGATTGTCTCACGATGGTTGAGGGAAGGAAGCGTGCGCATCGCCCTGCCTACTGGAAAAGCCTCGGTCAAAGTCGTTCACTCCCCTCCGCAGAAAAAGTAGTAACACCATGTAAAAAACCATTGATTGTGTTTTGCTTGAGACTTAACACGCTCCGGCAGTTGAGTTTGAACAATTCAACGATTTTGGCCGGAATCAATGGCTGCAGTCTCACACCATCAACCCCATGTTTTCTCATCTCAGGCGCTTGGCGATCAGGCGATTGAAAGACAAACGCTTCCATGGAAGCTTCCCTGCAATCTCCTGATCAATCACGGCGCTTGGATTTTGCGCAGCTTCAGCTAGCCCGTTGGATGGTTCTTGGTGTTTTTGGGACACGGCCTTTGCAAGCTATCTGAAGGCTTTAGCAGGTGATTGCAGTACTGGGCTTAGACACACTCGCTCTGCGAGCATACCAGCTCATAGCCTGCGCGGATCGTAGTAAAAAGCCCGAAATCAACACAACCCATGAATCAATGAAGCAACAAACTAGAAGAAAACGACAGATCCCATTTAAGCTTGTTGTCTGTGGGCACCGTCGTGCTCAAAGGCCCTCGCCGCTGCCAAACGGTGCAACGGTGAGACGCGGCTCCTTCACCTAGGGGGAAAAGCTGGGCTCGTAACACTGCGGCGTGCCAAGAGCCACTTCGCACTTGGACGGCATGGTCTGGATGGCCGTTACGACGCGCTTGACGCCCATCTACAAGTACACGCTTGTCCCCAAATAACAGGCTTCCATGGCACGTAGACACTGTCATACAATACGGAAATCAACGCAAACACACCCATCTTCTCAGATTTTTGCTGAGCGCCGCTGAGCTACCGGCTCTCCTCTTAGAGGCGCCATCCTGGCCAGACCATGGAGCTTGCGTGACACACCAACCCAAATTCTGTGCGTCATGGATATCGAACAGGCAATGTTTTTCATTATTTCGGCCTTGTCTCAGCACTCGTCACCAGAATACAGCAACACCTTCGCATAATAGGTGTAGACTATTAAGCAGGGCTGCCAGCTAGAGTCGCGCAACCATCAGCCGTGGCTGACGTAGCTGCAGCACTTGATTGTGAACATGTCACATTGAGCAACAACTTGTCTCAGGCAGCTAATGTTCTGTTGCAGACATGGACAACGCCTGTGGCAGACTACAACACACCTTGCCTCGCAGAACCTGTGGACAGAAATCAGACTCGCAAAGGACGCATGCCCAGTAAACCAGAATGAGCGTGAGATGGCGATATTGGAGCCCCGGGTTCTACTCCCAACGCTGAGGCGGATTAGAATATCCCACAAACATTTTATAGTTCTGCCCTGCTTCGACAAGCATGCGCAGCCGCGCTTCATGAAGAAGCCAGTAGACCTGAACTGCTTGAGCTCCGGGTTATACCTGAGCCACAAAACCCGGCTGTTCTCCGCAGTTCCCGCGCGGCTGTGCGACACCTAGGAGACCAAGGCACGTCAGCGGGCCAGTGCCCAGTGGCACTTTGAAGTGCTCCCGGCCAAGGAAGTCGGGCATGGACCTGCGAGCGCGACTGCTACCAATATCATTACGACCCGAAATCTTCGAATGAACATGTGACCCGAAAGCCTCGCCTCGTCGAAGAAAGCTTCGGGAAGGTTGAGGCAAAAGGCGGCCTGTCAATCGTCTTGCTCTCCGCGTACCTCGGTTTACCGACGCTGGTGCCTGCCTTTTGTCTCAACAGGCCGCAGTCGATGCTTTGGTGCCCTGAACTCGTTTGAATGACGACTCGTGATCTGCCTATGGAACTGCCACAAGGAGAAAGACGGCCCTCGCACTGATGTTTCCACGCAAAGCATGGGCCACTTTGTGGCACTCTGAATCAATTTACACCAGGACTTTGGGGCATGGTCAAACTCACTTTGTTCTCCGCTTGTGGGACGCCGTCAGCGCTGCAATGCCTCCAGCCTAGCGCACGGGGCTGCTCTGATTTGGGCACGAACCTGTGTAGCAAAGGCCACTCTACGACTCTTCTGCTCGCCTCCCCCTCAAAAAGTTCATGCCCCGTAAAGTAAAAACCTCTAACTACCAATTGCCGGGCACACCTATGATTAGGGGTCGCGCAGTTTTTGCCTCAAGATGTGTTGGTCATGGCCCCCTGCGGCGACAGCGGCATCCGGCGAAAGCGGGGTCCTGCCGCTTTTCTACGAAGGCCCAACACGCCAGTGTAGGCGGAAAGCGTGTCTGCACTTGCGGCTGCGCCGTCTGCGCTGTCTCCGACGTCTGCGCCATCTGCGCCGTCTGCGCCGCTTCGCCGCTTGCGCCATCTGTGCTTTGCGCTGTCAACAAAAGCATAGGCAACTGTAAGGAGCCAACAGGTATGAAAGCCCTGCTGCGTGCACAACAAAATAGCTGGTCGCCGGCGTGCAGTTCCCCGTGCGCCCGTCGAAAAAACAGAAAGGGACCTCCTGGGAGGCTGTGTTTTCTACAAAGCGGTGTTTCTTAGCGCTTCTCAGTGTTCTCGTTTTCGTAGTGTCTCAGTGTGCTTTGCGCGGCCTGGGCTGCCAGGATTGATTTTTTGGGACAGTCTCGCAGTTTGTGAGGCCGACCCCAAACTGTCCAGAGCGCTCTCTGTGTTTTCCTCTGTGCGCGTAACAGTGTTTCTGTGCCCGTGTTGGGTTTTCTAAGCACTGTTTTTGCGTTTCACTGCGTTCTCCTTTGTTTTGGTGTCTCAGTATTCTTGTTGTGGCTCGGGCTTTCCAGAATGGTTTTTTGGGACAGAGCTCACAGTTTGTTGGGGCCGGGTTCGGAGACTGCAAGACTGCACCGAAAAACAATCCTACTGTCCCCAGGAACAAAAAATCCAGTCGACTCTTCTAAATTATAATTGAAACACTGACATGAATCCCCTCAGAAAGGAAAGCACCGGCAATATATTTTGACATTTGAATTGCACGTTGACATAGGAGATCATAGGAGCCTGTTCGAAGTATAATTCCGTATTCATGTTTTTCTAACTTCTAGCCAGGAGATTGAACACATCCTTCTGGGAAGGAAATTCCCTTTAAAGTCCAATTTGGTTTAACACTCTGAGGTAAACTCTACTTGAGCTCCTGTTCAAAAAGGAACACCACACTCAAATTCCAATTGAAAAAAAGAAATTATACAAGGGCTCTGCGCTTACTAGTTGTTATTCTTTTTATGAACAACATCGTGGGAAAGGACATCTGATTGAATTCTATATGGAATTTTGAAGTCCATGGGCAACCTAATTGAAGCCCTCTTTAAAATGGACACCCTATGTAACCTAGATTTTCTACAAGAACTCTGTTCTTACTGAATTCCATAATTTGTTTGTGTAAAAAATGAAAGCACCTTTAAGATTGAACTTGATCTTAAAAAACTAATTGACATTTGTTTGGAATCCTCTTTAGCAAGGAGACCCTAATTTGAACTCGAACAGAACTACCCATTCTACTAGGATTCGTTCCTTGCTAATGTCTACTTCATTCTCGTGAAGCAAGCATGAACAACTCCTCCTGGGAAAGGGCATCAGACATGATTTGGAACAATCTTTCGGAAAGGGAACACTCTCTAAGTTCTACAGAAAAACTAGAATTTCTACAAGATTCAGTCCTTCAACATTTCTTTTATTATAATGGATTGAACATGTCACCCTGGGAAAGGACACCACCTTCAAAATATCATTTGCAAGAAGAATTGTAATCAAAACAAATTAAAGCTCGTTGAAGCAAGGGTTTTAATGCTCATTCAAAACGCGAAACGCCCCCCTGAATCGCAAAGGCTCAGTAATGTTGAAACAAAGTACTCGGACGATTCGTACCAACCTGGATGCAGGATTGTTCAAGCAGAGTTCCCTGATCATTCAATACAAGGTTTGCAGGAGGTGGTGTTGACGCAGACTGGCCAGATGACGCAGAATCAAGTTGACACCCTAGCTTCATTGAAAAAACTGCCTTGTAGAAAACCCAACCTCCCAGAAGGTCCCACTCTCAAAAAAAAAGCTCTGGCTTGACACAAATTCTGAGTGGCCGAAGCAGGCAAAGAAGCATCTGGTATGTTGGAGGGTGTCACAAAGCACCAAAGGCGCGGCTGGACACAACATTCACAGGCAATCACCACGGTACAAGTTCTGGGCGGGCCGGCTAAAATTTGGCGTGTGACCCCCTGCACTGTAGACACACTCTTTCTTTGCCTGCTGCGTTCTTTGCACTTGTGCCCCGTGACCCACTACTCTTGTGGAGAGGAAGGCTTTGTTGCCCGTTGGCCCGCTACAGTGTCTCATGCCATGTGCTTATTGCCCCTACTATGTAGACATAGCAGATGCTTACTTTTTCTTTGTTTCCTTCTTTCTTTTGCCGACTGTGGGGCTTTTGAAGTTGCACTGCGGCGGTCGCCCATTCTTGCGGTGTCTAGGAGGGATTTTGCACCTTTCCACCTTTCAAGGCTTGTTGCGCCTTGGCCCTCTTCAATGAGGGTTCCTTGCCTCTGCTGCTGCCCAGCAATTGGGCCTTTGGGGAAAGCAATCAGCATCCAGTGTGGCTACATTCTAGGGGGATTGCAAAAAGGACGGGCGGCCCCGTATCAGGCAAAGGAAATTGCATCCGGTATGTCTACAACGGAGGGCCAAAGGCGAAACCCTTCTGAACTTTTGGTCAGCTTTGTGTTGTCTCCTTCTTTCCTTGTTGTTTTGCTTTCTTTCTTTCTTGCATTCTTTCTTTCTTTCCATATCTCTTTCTTTCCGCATTTCTTTTCTTTCTTTTGTTCTTTCTTTCGTTCTATTGTTCTTTTGGTCTTTCTTTCTGTCCTTCCTTCTTTCCCTTTCTTCTTTCTTTAATTCCCGAAAGCATCGCGAAGGGTTCTTCCGTGTGGAGCCCTTGGACAAGTTACACAGAGCCAAGTTACACAGAGCCAAGTTACATAGAGCCAAGTTACATGAAGCCAAGTTGCACAGAGCCAAGTTGCACAGAGCCAAGTTACATAGAGCCAAGTTACATAGACCCAAGTTACATAGAGCCAAGTTACATAGAGCAAAGTTACATAGAGCCAAGTTACATAGAGCCAAGTGGCACAGAGCCAAGTTACATAGAGCCAAGTTACATGAACCCAAGTTGCACAGAGTCAAGTTGCACAGAGCCAAGTTGCACAGAGCCAAGTTGCACAGAGCCAAGTTGCACAGAGCCAAGTTACATAGAGCCAAGTTACATAGAGCCAAGTTACATAGAGCCAAGTTACATAGAGCCAAGTTACATAGAGCTAAGTTACATAGAGCCAAGTTACACAGAGCCAAGTTACATAGAGCCAAGTTACATAGAGCCAAGTTCACAGAGCCAAGTTACATAGAGCCAAGTTACATAGAGCCAAGTGGCACAGGGCCAAGTTACATAGAGCCAAGTTACATTTGCACAGAGCCAAGTTGCACAGAGCCAAGTTAGCCAAGTTGCACAGAGCCAAGTTACACAGAGCCAAGTTACATAGAGAGTTACATAGAGCCAAGTTACATAGAGCCAAGTTACATAGAGCCAAGTTACATAGAGCCAAGTTACATAGAGCCAAGTTACATAGAGCCAAGTTACATAGAGCCAAGTTACATAGAGCCAAGTTACATAGAGCCAAGTTACATAGAGCCAAGTTACATAGAGCCAAGTTACATAGAGCCAAGTTACATAGAGCCAAGTTACATAGAGCCAAGTTACATAGAGCCAAGATACATAGAGCCAAGTTACATAGAGCCAAGTTACATAGAGCCAAGTTACATAGAGCCAAGTTACATAGAGCCAAGTTACATAGAGCCAAGTTACATAGAGCCAAGTTACATAGAGCCAAGTTACATAGAGCCAAGTTACATAGAGCCAAGTTACATAGAGCCAAGTTACATAGAGCCAAGTTACATAGAGCCAAGTTACATAGAGCCAAGTTACATAGAGCCAAGTTACATAGAGCCAAGTTACATAGAGCCAAGTTACATAGAGCCAAGTTACATAGAGCCAAGTTACATAGAGCCAAGTTACATAGAGCCAAGTTTCATAGAGCCAAGTTACATAGAGCCAAGTTACATAGAGCCAAGTTACATAGAGCCAAGTTACATAGAGCCAATTTACATAGAGCCAAGTTACATAGAGCCAAGTTACATAGAGCCAAGTTACATAGAGCCAAGTTACATAGAGCCAAGTTACATAGAGCAGTACATAAGGCACGTGACACAGAGCCAGGTGGCACAGAGCCAAGGTTAGGTAGAGCTTGCGTAGAGCTTCGGCGTAAGCAGCTATGCAAGTTAGTTTAGGTTTCTACGGCGCCGGGCGGGAGTTTGATCATCGCTCGGGATTGCGACCCTCTGCGGAGATTCGCGTGGTCGAGGTTCAAAAACAGAGGACTTTTTACGATTTTTAACGCGCGCGCGACCCTCTGCGGAGATTCGCGTGGTCGAGGTTCAAAAACTGAGGACTTTTTACGATTTCTGCGGTGCGCGCGCGACCCTCTGCGGAGATTCGCGTGGTCGAGGTTCAAAAACTGAGGACTTTTTACGATTTCTGCGGTGCGCGCGCGACCCTCTGCGGAGATTCGCGTGGTCGAGGTTCAAAAACTGAGGACTTTTTACGATTTCTGCGGTGCGCGCGCGACCCTCTGCGGAGATTCGCGTGGTCGAGGTTCAAAAACTGAGGACTTTTTACGATTTCTGCAAGCCGCGCGCGACCCTCTGCGGGGATCGCGCGTGTCGAAGCGCTCTCGCTGTGGCGCCGTGCGAATTTGTTGCTCGCGAAATGGCCTTTGGAAGTTGTCTCGTGGCTCGCGCGCCTGCTTTCGCAATCCCGCGGTCGCGGGTTCGATTCCCCCCTGGTCCGCGGCAGCTCCGGCTTGAAAATCGCAGCTTTTAAGTACAAACGTGTACGCGGAGCGTGCTCCTGCAGCTCCGGCTGGAAAATCGCAACTTTTAAGTACAGACGTAG